CAAACACAAGATAAGACGAGTAAAGTCATATAAAGTGACTGTCTTTCGGTAACATTGCCTGTTTGTCGCAACAATTCAGAGCCATCTGTTGAGAAAGTATTTAGACGATTAAAACCAATTCATTTAGGAAATTCAGAAGATGTTTCAAATTTACCTCACATTCTCTTCCTTTCTTTAAACCTATCAATCAACTCTGAACAAGCCTGCATAAGGTTAGAGTCGGCATTATTAGCTTATTATGACTATGAGACAAATGGACAGTCACAGTATATAGAAACATTTCAACTTAATAAGAATGCAGAGCTACATCTGCGCAACACACTTGAAAGGAAAATCTAATGTCAAATAGAGGGTAAACACTTTATCAAACTTCAAATATGAAATAGCTTAATGTAAGTAAGCTAAAATAGGTCACACTTCCTAGTCATACCTGCTTGTACAGCTTTGATAGCATCTCAGGCTGAGTAACTACCAATGCAGCTAAGCATTTGGAAGCAGCTCTTCTAACCTTCCAACTGACATCATCATCATCCGTGTATTCATTAGCACTGTCACGCTACAAAAAAATTGACAAGTAATCTGATTGGTCAGAAGTCTGCAACGTATAATCCTAATAGGTCTTAGCAAGCTCCAGAGCATAAGTGAACATACTCATCCTCATCTTCCTCAAGAATTTCTTCATCAATATCTTCCTCCATATTGTCAGTGAAGTTGGAATCATAGCTGACATATTCCAGGTGAGATGCAAAAGTTCATCACAGTAGGAAGAACTATCCCGGGGACACCTTCGCAAAAAGCTCTCAAGCGCCTGGAAATAAAAAAACTTCAAAACCAAGGCTTCATCCAGGGGGGAGGGTAAGTAAGAGCAGAGGAAAAAAAACAATCAATTAACATAACACCTGCTGACTATCTTCACGAAGCTCCTCATCATTTTCAGATGCACTTGTAGAGTAGTTAATTAGCAATGAAACTGTCTCTCCGAGGTGAGGACCAAATCGATAGCCAATAACAGCTTAAGTAAAATAAGTCAAAATGAAACTGTCTCTCCGAGGTGAGGACCAAATCGATAGCCAATAACAGCTTAAGTATAGATAGATAGTAAAAGAGGAAAGGTCTCCAAAAGGAAGCACGCCATCTCAGAAAGAAAAAATAGAGGACCTTGAATGTAAAAAGGGACAGTCAGGAGTGAACATGCATGTGTCAGTTTGACACCTTAGTCTTTTCTATTTCATATTTATATAAGTCAAGACTCCATTTAGAAGTGTCAAACATTTAACACTCAGCTGCAGCAGAGAGCACCCAAACACAAGTCATTCAGCCCTCTTTTGTTTCACTTGATACAGGTTAGCAGTGCTAGAACTAAACAACAGGAAGACCAGGCTAGTTTATCTTCACTTTTATCCTCCTATGTACATCTCCAGTACACAAGAGACGCAACAAAATGAATTTCCAATACTTTGACTTGATTCCCTTGTCTTCCTCTGTCAGCTTTTCCATTTGTCAAAATAATGTCAAATGAAGACCTGGCTTCTTTTCCCTTTCAACTATGTCACAGTTTCTCTAGGGCAGTGACAAGCATAGTGTCCAACAGGTTGAAGAATATTGGATGTGAAATCTGCTAATTGAGTATTCACTATACCTACTGTTGAGAAAAGTATATTGTTCTTGGGCATTTGTCTAAAAGTTAACGACACAAACAAGTATATCAAAATTACATGACATTTGATAGGACAAAATGCAAGCATCAATTATAATTTAGGATTTGCTACTTTAAGGTCCCAATATCTGAATGTTAGTTCGTATCATCTCTGATTTTGAGCTCTTATAGCTCAAAAGGCGAACAACTTCAACTGTAGCCTTCGCCAGCAAATCATCCGACAATTTTGAAGACAAAGAGATGCTGTACAGGAAAAAGGTTGAACTGAATTTACTGCAGGAAAAGTCGAAAGCTTGGCCACCAGTCCAACACAGTACATGATAGTCTAAGAAATCTTATTAACTCATGTTTCCATTGTCAGAAAGGGAAATTGTCGTTACTATCTCTCAAAGCATCTATACTAAGCCATCAAACAAACTCTGTTTTAACTTGATACACTCTCCATTCAAAATTTAAAGCACATACAATACAGAGAAGCTTATAACAAGGTTACCTATACATGAAATGCTCTTCTTCCTGAAACGAGCTTGATTGGAACTCAGCTGGGGCAATAATGAAGTTAGCAATGACTCATGGTCGGTGTCCATCAAATTCCCGTACTTTTGAAGAACATCACATAGTATGTCAAGACATTCACACTTAATCTCAGTGCTCATTCCCTGGAAAGGAGACAACAATAGAGAAAGTTATAAAAACAAAAAAAGCAACTAAGCATATGTGCATTAGAAAATAAACATAGTAAAAGAGTGTTTGAGTTCCCCAAATAGAAGGCTGATAAGAGAATATACAGAAGAATGACAGCATCACTTCTTAGAACAAATTGTGCACGCATTGACAATACACCTACAATCTTGCCTAATATTAATGAACAGCATAACATGTTCTTCATTTGGAATGATGGAGGAATATTTTATTTCATAAGAAATAGCAGTGAACAAAAAGACTTGAAGCAATTAAACAATCAAATATGGATGCAGGAAGGCACTTGCAGATGTCTTGTACATTGAGTGAATGACGGTACCCCATCTATACATAAAGTCCCTTTATGTATAGATGATTGGGTGGAGTTCATAGAAAACCATCTCTATTTGCAGGTTTCTACTTTTGGTAAATTTCTATATTAGCACTTTTTTAGCCTAACATTAATAAAATTTATTGCATTATCGAAAAAACTTCTTAATCTTTAGTTAGAGACAAAATTAGGCTACATTGAGTCGTCAAACACCGACATAAGCTCACATGTAAAGAACAATTTATGGATCAAAACCTTTTGTTTATTCTTTCCTTTGTCTCGAAGGAACAAGTAAATGATAATACTTTTCGGAGGTAAATTATTCATTTCAACTTTCTTATGTTGTCCTGCACCAAAGGGTTTTGGCCTAGTAGTCAATAAAGTGCAAGGAGAGTCGTAGTCAATAAAGTGCAAGGACAGTCACGAGATCTCGGGTTTAAATTTCATTGGAGGGGAAAAAATAGTAGGTGGTTTCTTCTCATTTGTCTAAGCCTTGGGGGGTACTTAACTCGGTACCTGGTGTTGGTCGGAGGTCCGGTACTCATTGGAATAGTCAAGGTGCGTATGAGATGGCTCATATACCATTGCTATAAAAAAATCCCCAAGCCGTCCTACATAAAAAGATGCAAAAGTTCCTTCCTATATCCTCTTTTCACCTACTAGTCACTAGTTTAGGTCACATCAATTGCCTAGACCTGTCTACTTACTACTGCAGTTAATTCAGAAGGCAATTGGTTGGCTTGATGAGGAAAATACCACCGGAACTAAAAACGAGAAGAACAAATTGAGTGAGGAACAAGAAATTGCGAACAGAAAGTCTCAAGATCAGAAAGGACAAATCCAAAACCAATCATAGGGATGTATTTGTTGTAATCTTTCCATGCACCATAGTTAAACAAGATCATCTAGAGCAGCAAATTTGAATGATCCTGTCTCATCAAAGAGAAGGTATTTCTACATCACCAATTGAAAGACAGGTATCCATGCAGTTCACAAATTCAGGATCCAGATATGTGTTACTCAAACAAGGTTAGAGGGTTGAAGAACTACTATTTGGAGAACTACAAATTCGCAAAGTTTCAATTCACAGTATAATAACTCTAACAAGTGTCTTGCCAACAATGATGTACTAGCCAAAAAGAAACCAACATCAAAGAAAAAAAAATGTGTTCATCGCAGAAAAGAAGAGCAATAGGAGTGAGGAAACAGATAAAAGGAGAAGCCACACACAATAAAGCTGAATTCTAACTGCTATGACCAAGCCACTGTAGCTACATATCAATAGAGCATAGGAACATACTGATTATTAATCTTCATATATTTTAGGAAAAATAAAATAATACCATCAACCTCCCAAGCACAGTTGGAGTTCCCAAATAGCCAATTAAATCAGGATAACATGAAACTAGAAACTACAACGCCAAAAGGTGAAATGAGTAGACAAACCTGAACAAGCTAATCCTCATCCAGGGAAGATAAACTCACTAATACTGGAAATCGCACCACAAATATGAGTCCATCCGCAGTGAGATTGTCAGTTTCTACTAGATACAGAAAGCAATGTGACATAAATGCTTCCGATGCATTTGGTTTTTAGAATTTCACGAGAATAAAGAGTCATGAAATCATTAGATTTACAAAATAGTGATCCGAAAAAGAAAACTACACTCAAGTCACAGGGATCTCCTCACAGATTCCAATAGTGATGATGTAACTACAGTATCAGTTAGACCACCAACTCTCATGTTAGTTAGAACAGGTACTCCGAATCCAGTTGAAGAATCTTGTCGTCTGGGAGTAAAAGAATGATAAGTTGAACCATATTATATCACTTAACCTAAATGTGTTTAATGAAATTAATTGAGTTTGACAGATAACCTTTCTGAAATTGTCTTCTCTACCAATAAAAGCTCCACCACAAATAAAAAGGATAGCTTTAGCTATCTGCAGATTAGTGTATGGAAAAGTATAAAGAGCAGACAGCATCAAGAATGAACAGTGATGAGCTATTGAATAAGGAATGTCCAGCTCGTTACAACTTCACATCCTTTGTAGATGATTGCTGCAAGACATATAAACCAGTATTTAACTTGACTTTCCCCTCCCAACATATGTGAGTTTAGCTGAAGAAGTCCTGTTTCGTGCTTGTTGAATAGGTCAGTGTCTGACATCTAATTTTCCTTGGCCAAACAATCTTTCCCAGTAGAGATTTGTTTTTCACCCTCAACATAATCAAATTGATTCTAAAAAGCACTAAACTATATTACCATCCAAAAAGCAAGGGGTAAGTGCTTTTCCCACAAAACTGTTTTGACTGCAATTTAAAAAAAAGAAAAAGTAGATAAAAGAGGCTTTAATAGATTCAGTATACCTGAATAGTATCGCCACATGGATGATGCTTCCATGCTCTATTGTCAGGTACACTTACAATCGGAAGAAGAAATAAAGATAAAATGAGCAAGTGAGATTACTGATCTCAGAAAAATGCTTAGAAAGAGGACACATTTGAAGGCCAGGAACTACAAATATGAATTTGTAAACATGTTTAGAAGAGTAATAGGCAATTGGAACAAACAGCTGAAATAATTTGCAATAAATACTTACAGTTCCTTCAAGCATCTTCAGCAGCGCCTGTTGGAAGCCCTCCCCAAATACATCTCTGCCAATGTTAAGGCTCTCAGCCTAGACAGATGACTGATGAGAATGATTACTTTAAAATCAATTATCCAAATTCATAAAGTAGATAATGGTTTTTGAACCTCTTTGGTTATTTTATCAACTTCGTCTATGTAGACAACCCATTGCTGAACTGCTTCGACATTGAAGTCAGCAGCCTTATAACAAACATGAACACCAAAAATTTATAATTGAATAACAATGCTGCTGATAGTGCAAAAGCTAAACAGATTACAAAAGAGGAACCATGTAGTCTGCTTGACAAGGAAATAGGAAGTAAATCTGCTTCTCCACAGAAACTATTCAATGCAACCTTCATCAAAAAGAAACTATTCAAATGCAATAATCAGCAGAACACCAAAGGGGCAACCATTTCAACCAGGTTTATTGTTACCGACTTCACAACAATGTGATAATGATAATTCTCTTGTACCTAGACAGATAAAAATGAAAATGAACATTGATTCTTGCACAAATGTGAAATCATTGTGACTACTTTGGAAATCATTACCCTCTCTTTTCTTTATATCAGTCAAGGTTCGTTCTACTCTAATCCTCCAAAAACTGTGCCACAACCGAGCAAATTAACCACTCTAGAAAAAGCTAAGATCTGCAGGCATTATTCAGAGAATTGAAACTTTTAGTGATACATGAGCTCCTCAAATTTTGATTGGTAACACAGCCTCTTCAACCATTTCAAAACCACTGGACCAACTATCCAGCTAGTTCCTTGTTAAATTAGTCAAATTTATCAATCACCTCTCTACAGTTCTTCAAATCTAAAAACAGATATGTTAATTGCAGTTCTAGGCGCCAGTTTTAAATGTATTTCCTACTACGTGATTACCTTATATTTGCAGCTGCAGTACTCTCCACGCACAATACATTTTCAGTTTTTTTGCAGTAGAATTACACAGCTGCTTCCATATTCCAATTACAAATCATATTTACTCTATTAGGTTTATACTTTCTGAATGGTCATCAAATGGAAAGTGGAAACACATAAATTGTCTAGAAAAGAACACAAGGTAAGTACATTTAGGCAACCAGCTAGCGCACATCTACCATGTCACTAATAACATATCAAACTGCAACGCTAGAAGAAGCAGTAGATATCTGTGTGCCATCAGCAATGTGAAATGAAATTGCAAAATCACCAAAACAGAATCAGAAACAGTAAAAACCCAAAGAGAAGCGTTAAAAAAATGAACAAGAGAAGCCATCAGGATTTTTACACAGAGAATGACTGACCAATGGTATATCAGAAATACTGGAGACCGAAAGTACATTGAAAAGATTGCACAAGGTAAAAGAAGTTATATGATGATAGTATCAATATTAAGAACATAGTTGAACTTTGTGCAACTTGCGTGTATCTTTTTGCGATGTTGTTGGAAACACGAAAACTAAATATTTTACATCATGTTCAATCTTGTATAGTGAAATCACACAATATACTAAGAATCATTTTTTTAAAAACCAAGTACCATTTCTTTTTTAAACTCCCTAAATCACAACTCCGCTCTGAAGTACCGTTAATGAAATGAGCTTAACTAAGCAGCCCATACATGAATAGAATGAAAAAAATCAAATGCTATTAAACCATCATGCATACCTCGAGTAATTTGGATAATACAGATTCCGCATCCTCGCCAACATAACCAGCCTACAGTGATAAAGAGGGATAAATACTCATTATTTTAATCATTTTAAAATAGACTAATAAAAGGTAAAATAAACTAAAATTTCGTTTCACCTCCTTGGAGAAGCAGCTTTACTCAAAGATAGTCCACACTTATATGAAGCAACTATAGTTAGAAAGCATAGGCCAACACAGCTCAACAGTTTGGCAAGATCAGACCAAAAAAAAGTTTCAATTGACTGCCACAACCAGACTAATATCTTTTTAAATGCAACGACAAATGTATTTGACAATTTTCTGATCAATACTTTTTAAGATGTGTGCGCAGCAATTCGACAAGTAGACTACATTTTATAGTTATCAGACCAAACTTTAAGCACTTTGTTATACTTCTATCAAATAAGCTTAGTCCAGAATTATTAGCAATCTCTCCCCTTCTACCTCTTTGAGACATATTTGAGCTGAAATGATTAGGTCTTAGGGCCATGTCATTATTGTCGTCCTGATAAATTTATTAGAAGGGTAAATGTGTGCCCGAATATAGGAACCTGATGGATGCAACAAAAGGAAATAAGGGGAAAGAGGCTATTTTTCAGGTGTACCAAGCCAGGGCATACATGTGCCAAACATTTCTTTAGAGGATTATTGCCATTTGCTTAAATTTCTTCATCCTCCATTACAACTCATTGCTTTTCTGATGCAGTGAAGAGAGGTGATGAGAAATAATAGCAAAGTGTACTTTATCAAAACAAAAAATAAAAAGTATGACCGTTGTCCTGGTTTCTTAGGGTTATGAAAATTGTAAACTCAAAAGTATTCCATAATCTCAAACACAGTCAGCAGAGGAAAGGAATGATAATCTGCAACAGATATGTTCTATATGTGAGGAAAGATAGGATGATGTGAACACCTTTATTCATTGTAAAGTTACATCTTAGCCATGATCGCTAGAAGTGAAATAGTGCATGCCTGAATCCCTTTAAAACTGCTGTTATATTGGAACAGAAGAGGCCTCCACAAAGCCCCTCTAGTACTCCATACTATAACACCATATGGTGGATCGAATGAAGAGAGAATCAGCGAGACATTATGAAGAAAACAAGAGAACATTTTAGACGAAAACACAGATGTATCTTTATTAACTTTACAGAGCAAAAAATGTAGTGGAGATGCAGAAGTTTTTCAGTTCTAGTGGTAAAAATTCATATGGAAAATTGTAAATTCTTGAACATATTAAACCACTTAAAGCAAAACAATATCAATTACATGGTTGAATTCCAATCAAGAAAATCTTGGAATCGCATTATGAAATCCATCAACAAAAAAAGAAGAAGATAGAAAGCATACTTTTATGTCGAATGCAACAAACACTGATTATTAATCTTCATATATTTTAGGAAAAATGAAATAATACCATCCAATCTTCTAACAGCAGGCATTCAACTTTTGGTATATTTTAAAGAAAAAATAGGAACAATAAAGAGCCCAGAAATCTATTTGATCTTGACCGAGACTTCACCATTAAAGATTCCACAAACAATTACAACCCTCTAAAAGTAGTGACCAAAACATCCATGAAACAACTTTAGGTACCACCATACATTCTTTGCTAAAGACAAGACATTGTAGAATCTTGATTAAAAAAAAAAATCACTAAGACTTGGTAAATTCTTAAACATACGAAACCATTAAATCAAAAGAATATCAATTACATCATGAATGTCAATCAAGAAACATCCAAAAGTCAAATTCTTCAACATAAAACCCTAAAGAACCAATCAAAATATCCTAAAGAACCGAAGTGTCCATATGAGAATCTTGAAATCCATTAAAAAGGGAGAGAAAGCATACTTAATGGCAGAGAGAAAGGGAGTTGTATTTTTACTTTGCATTATGTTTATGTGGATGGTCTGCTGACTGCTATTTATAAAAGTTTGAGATTGTTAAGCGTGTGGAATTTACGCTACCTTAAGTTTTATTTTACTACCTTTTTTAGATTATTACCTAATTCATATTTATCACTACAAAAAATTATATAAGTTAATTAATTATATCATTTAAAAATTGTTTTAACTACCCGTTATTGAAAACTGAAGTTGGTAATTACTTACTATAATTTTATTTTATCTCATCGGCAAAATTACTATATTAAAACCTCATTAAATTAATACTCACTAAAATTAATAATCCCTCTAAAATATTATTCTTTTTCCGATCTCAACTTGGGCCAATGGAAAAAAAATCACTCATTTCAATAAGATGATATAATTTTAGAAGACCCCTATATAAATATATGCTTCCGTTAATATTATAAATTAATAATTTTTTAAAGTACAAATATATCTAAAACAATTTAGTGAAATGTGATTTTATTGTGTTTTGTTTTTTGTTAAAATTTAAATCTAGTTGAAATTCATCTCTAACTTTTCTTCTTGCATCTAAATTCAAAGTTTCGGTGTTGCCATAATTGCATTTTTTTTAAGTACATGTAGAAAGATCTATTTTGTACTCACTTAATATTTTACGTACTTGATAATTTGTCATTGTTGCTTTAGTGACACATTTTAACTAAGAAGTCATATTTTGATATGGTTTTAAGAAGTTTCATATGTTGCTTATATAGTTTATTCTATCACCATCATAAGTTGAATGTTTTTAGTAAAGATACAATGAATAATATATGATTATTAAGAAACTATAAATATTATGTATAATGAATTTATTTTACACAATAACTGAATTCTTGAATTATTATTTTTTTACAATGAATCATTTAACAAAAAAATATATTATAATGAATAGTTCACATGCGTTGTACGTTATGCATAACCTATTTATTTTTTATATGAATTCAATGGTATATAATTTAGTAAGGTGCGGTGATATTAACATATTCATTATACTATATGTATGTATAATAAATTTATTTTTTATGTGAATTTAATAAATATGTTACGTAAATTTAGTAAGATACAATGATTTTGATGCAATCAAAAAATAATAATAATATTTCAGTATTCCACATATATTACCACCTATATTAATTTAGCAAGGCTTTGGAGAACTATTAGTTTTAACTTATTTTAATATTATTAATATTATATAGTAATTATAATAAACATATTATAAATCATATAAAATCATTGATTACATTTTTTATTTCATAATTATTTTCTAATATAATATAATATCTAAAATTATATTATTGACATTTATACTACTTCCATTCCCAATTAATAATTTTGTTTTTAGAAAAAAATTCATCACTTTAAATATATAATTTACAATTATAATTATTATTCACTATGAAATGTACAAAAATTTAAATGATAATTCAAGCAATTTAAAAAGAAAAAGCGTATGGATCAAAAAATTATTGTGATTGTGATGGCAGCTATGGTAATTGTTAAGTTCTTTAATCCATTATTCGTATTTGCTCTTATCACATGTATTCAAGAACAATCGTTGATTTCTTTTATCCATTACTCTAAAGCTCCAATTGCAACAATATAAATGGTGGTAGATGAAAATCTATGATCTGCACATATTTTAGCTAAACATAAAAATGAAGAACAAAAATATTTATTTTAAACTTCATAATACACTAATAAGGTATTTATGAGAGCAACATAATAGTCTTAAAAATTGAGTATTTATAATTTATATAATTATATTTCATTAATACTTTTACTTTTATTTGAATTATCTGTTAATCTGTATAACATATAACATTTGCTTGCAATTTATGTTATTCAAAAACTTAGAATAAAGTATAATTTTATATTACATAAAATTATATATGATGTTTATTTTTAAAAAATAAGAAAGAATTTATATCATGATTCATGAAACAAAAATAAAATAAAAATTATAACAACAATATAATATTAAAAAAATGTAATATTTCTTGATAAAATTTGGTTAAATTATGTATGCATATATACCTTAAGAATCATTCATGCAACTTTTGATGCAAACAATTCAAAAAAATTATTATGTTAAGAATTTTATTGAAATCTATACATATTTATTTGTTAAAAAAATCTACTTATTATGATTATTATTATGTATAGTAGATAATTAAAATATACATATTTATTTGTTAATCTACTTATTATGATTATTATTATTATGTATAGTAGATAATTAAAATTTAAATTCTGAGTGTTTCTTTGCCGTATAGTCATTAGATGTAGGGGTGGCAGTTGGGCGGGTTGGGTTAAATTTGGGCGGGTGAAAATGGGTAAAGACAACAAACGGGTCAATACCCCACCCAATCTAATCCAAATTTGTTTGGGCCAAAATGGGTTGGTTCAAAACGTGTTAGGTAACGGGTTAGTAATAAGTCATAACCTAACCCGCTCAATTTTTACTAAGTTTTAATAGCTTTATTTGTTATTTTATAAGTTTTTAGTATCTAATAAGATTTCTTTTCTTTATTATAACTATATATAACATATAACTAAAAAGTTTTTAAAAATGTTTTGACAAGATTTCTCAAAAATCTATTTTGATTACATATCAATTCAATTTTTAATGGGTTGAAATAAGTTGTTGTTTTTAAAAATAAAATAAAATTACGCCTTAGGTGGCGCAAACCTTTTATTTCATCCAAGATCTATACAGACTTACAGAGAACAAGCAAAAGGGGACGATAGCCTAAACCTCCATTAATAAACATTATTATACAACCTTGAAAAAACAGGTCATGTATAACAAAAACTAAAGAAATATATATCATATCTAGTGACTCAAATTCTTTGCCTGTGTCTTGTGGAGGACATCTGAATCTTATCAACGATGCATGTGTCAGTTGGGTTGAAATGATTTGAGCTAACAAATGGGTGAATCAATAATCAACTGTCCAACTCAAACCTAAATGGATTGGGTGTCGGATTGGGTTTGATTTTGCCACCCTTAATTAAACATTACCTCACAACTGTCATCGGTGATGACCATCAACCACTATCGCCATTTTAAACAAATATTTTTAACATCATATTAATTGAAACAAAAAGTTTATCTAATATCTGCTTATGTGATATTTTACAAGGCATAACAAGTTAATCTTTGAGAACTTATGCCGTTAGAAGCATTCAGAACCCGACTACAAGTTATGCGTTCAAACTTAGTTCCTTAAGTACTTATATCGATAAAAGCATAATTCAATTTCAGAAACCACAAAATTATAACATAAGTATCATAATTATGGTGGACAAGGCCAAAAAAAAATTAAACTCATGTTTTGCAATTGATAGTAAAGGCCCAAGTTTTGGTGGTGTCGGACAGTTTATAGTAATTGCGGTAGGCACGAGGCATGCGGGGTGATGTTACTACTGGGTCGGTACTCTTGTAAATGAACACCACTATACCCCACCATTTTTAGACTTTTGTGCATATAAAACATCACCATTACTGCAAACTATGAAAAAAAAAAAATTAAAAATCCCCGTACTACCACTACTAGATTCCTTCCTGTCAAAATCGTTTATTTTTTACCCATCTTATGCTAGGGAAAACGACAAAAATAATGCATCTAAACTTACTTAGTGCCTGTTTGAATTGACTTATTTTAAATGTTTTTAAGTTAAAATATATTTTAAACAGTTTTGAAGAGTTTGAATAAAGTTAAGAAAAAACTTATAAACACTTATTTTAAAGCCAAAATAACAAAAATAAGCCAAAAATCATAAGTTAAAAATCCTAACCTATGGCTTTTGGCTTAGAAATCGTAAGCCAAAAGTCAATTCAAAAATGCCCTTAGAACCATTAATGCGATTCTAACATGTTATCACTAAACTATTCCATTTAGAGAAAAAGGAAAAGGTAACTTAAAGCTTTTTCACAATAAAATGGGTAACCAGCTTTTTAGGTTATTCTGTTGCTGAATCAAAATTAATCTTACATTTAATAATTGGTTTTGGGATCTGTAAGTTTTATTTATAGATTTTTATTTGTTTTTTTTAAAAAAACAAGTTACGAAACACTCTTTTTTTTTGAGTTGGTGGTATATTGGAGATAGTAGACAAAATCTGTGTGCATAGATTATCTTAGATATGTAACGTATGTTATTGTTATTTGTTAAAATCAGTTAAAGTTATTAAAAAAGTTTATTTTAGCGTTTTCATCAAGTCAATGCAACTTCTTGTAGGCACACCTAACATATTTGTATAGATTTTAATTAGCAAAACCATCTATTTATACAGATATAATCTTTAAAAAGATCATTATAAATAATTATTAAGAGTATTTCTGAATAATAATTTCTATAAAACTGACCAAACGTCCATGTTCCTAAAAGATGCATCTAATTTGTCTTTGATGAATAGAAGAATTGTAGAGATATAAAAGTGTTGTTAAACTTTATGGAAAAACAATAATGCACCATCTACTGGGCCATTCGCCAGACCATCATATTCTTCCCACTATTGAAATGCATAATCCATCCCTCACCTAACCAATTTCAATTCTCCACCTCTATAACATACTACTATTTTCTCTTTTCTCATCTTTTTTACGCTAGAGTTACTCAAAGTAATCTATGAAATATTCAAGATGTTAAGGTGACGGATCGGTGAAATATACTAGATATATTCTGAAATCACGACTTTTTGAAAGTCATTTTATCTTCCAGAATAAGTTTAAATTTTATACACACTATACTTTTCAGACTCAGTCGGAATAAACAATGATCTTATAATCATAGAGATGCTGAATATTTTTATCATTCCTATTTGTTTAGGAAGCACCTGCTCACCAACCCTATAATATCTGACTCCTAATTAAACCAAATGACAGCAAATCCAATATATGAATACACTATTTTTGATTAATCACGAGTTAAAACAAATTATAGCTTTGTTAATCCTATTCCCTAAATATACTGCTCTCCAGCTAATTGTACAAAGATATCATCGGTGGGCATCAAAAGGCCCCACACTGTGCCTAAACCACCAGAACCCTCCATTACAAAACCAAAAAATTTTGATCAAATTTGTAGTCATTTTTCAAACATGTCAAAATCAAGAACCTCTGTTTTCTTCTTTCTCTTTCTTTTTTCACTTTCATCAGTTCAATCAATTCCTCCTTCTTCAGACATAATTGCCCTTCAAGCTTTTACAGCTGCCATTAAACCTTCCTCTATTCCTTCATATTCTTGTTTAGGTACTTGGAATTTCACTACAGACCCTTGCTCTGTTCCTCGTGTCACCCATTTCACCTGTGGCCTTTCTTGTAGCTCTGGAAACAGAGTAACTGAACTTACTCTTGATCCTGCTGGTTATACAGGGACTCTTTCTCCGTTAATTTCTAAACTCACTCAACTTGTTACTCTTGATCTTCAGAATAACAATTTTTATGGCCCAATTCCTTCTTCTCTGTCTTCTTTACCAAATCTCAAGAACCTGGTTCTTCGACTCAATTCATTTTCTGGGTCAGTCCCACCTTCCCTCACTTCTTTAAAATCTCTACTTTCTCTTGATATTTCTCATAATTTGATTTCTGGGTTACCAAATTCGATGAATGAGCTAACCAGCTTAAGAAGACTTGATCTTAGTTACAATAAGCTAACTGGGTCACTCCCAAAATTACCCCCAAATCTACTAGAACTTGCAGCGAAGGCTAATTCGTTATCTGGGTCTCTTTTAAAATCGTCGTTTTATGGGTTAAATCAACTGGAAGTTGTGGAGCTTAGTGAAAATTCGTTATTTGGAACTATTGAAACTTGGTTCTTTCAGTTACCTTCGTTACAACAAATCGACATGGCGAACAACAGCTTTACACTCGTCAAGATTCCAAAGGTTGTTGATTTGAACAGCGACCTTGTCGCCGTCGATTTGGGTTTCAACAAAATCGAAGGGTATTTACCGGTAAATTTCGCGATTTTCCCTCGATTGTCGTCGTTGTCATTAAGGTATAACAAGTTCCGGGGACCGATTCCGTTGCAGTATAGCAAAAAGGCGACGTTGAAAAGGCTGTATCTTGACGGTAATTTCTTGAATGGGTCACCGCCGGCGGGATTTTTCGGCCGGGAAACTTCAGTTACCGGCAGTTTAGGAGATAATTGTTTACAAAAATGTCCGATTTCTTCGCAACTTTGCTTGAAATCACAGAAATCTACGTCGATTTGTCAGCAAGCTTATGGTGGGAAACCAAAGTCTTAGGTGTCAGTCAATGTTTCTGAGATTTTTTTTCATCTTGGTTTTCATATTGTAATTGTAGGAGTATTATATTATATTCTTTAGATAAGAAATAACCCAATATAATATTTGCTCATCTGAATTATGCCCACTTTGTATAGAGTATAGTACTATATTCATACTAGAAAATTACGGATATCTTATTATAATAATCTCAATTTAATGTGTGTGAAACTGTGAAGTTATTTTGGTTGGCGTTTGACTATTTTAAATACATGTTGTTGTGTAGGGCTTCACTCGGAAAAAAACGCTCTTTATCAAAAAAAAAATTATATTTAAATTTTAGAACTTGAATTTAAAATTTCTAATTAAAAAAGAAACAGTCTCATTCGTCGATGATAAACTATGAACTTATTATTATTCGTCTAGGGACATTGTTGGAGAGCATGAACCAAATTTTGAAACGATGTCAGATAGTACAAAGTATATTTGAATAATTTGATTTGATATCGAAATTAGTGATAAAAATGGTGAACATAAGTTATAATCTTTTGTTTTATTTTATTTTAATTTATATTTGTAAAAACTAGAAAAATTTAGCAAGTGTTCTCTTCCTTTCTTGACCTTAACTTTATAGTATTTATCTTTTCACTTCCAAAATTGGAATTTGGAAGTCTCATTTTCTGTTTTTATTACTTCGAAATTATGTTTATTTCTGGGTAAGATTTTGGGTGGGTTTGGTATGTAGGAGAATATTTTTCTGGAAAAGGTTTTTTTGGAAAATAAGTTTAATTATTTAGATTATTTATAATGTAGGAAAAAATAAGTTTAATTATATAGCTGGTAGTCATTTTCTCATTTTAAGAAGTTTATTTACAAGAAAAAATTCTGCGGTACCAAGCATAGCTTTTTTCGTGAAAGATTTTCAATTCGTAATCCTTAACAGCTCATTTATTAGCAAGTGGTCAACCTTGTTTAACTAAATTAAACGACTGATTTTTGTCTTGTTACTTCAAATTTGTTGTATCTATTCTTTTAATTCTTTTGAATTTTCTTAATGCAATCAATACTTTTATTATTCAACTGTCAAAAGGTATCATTTGGCTCACTTCCCCACTAGAAATACTTTTTCCCCACAAAAGTTAAACTTTCCCTCAACTTTCAAACTTACACTCATGTGATAAAAAAAATTAAATTAAAATTTCTAACTTTAACCCTAATACTAATCCCTATGGCAATTGGCAAATCAAAGCACTACTGAATACTGTACCATACAAAGAAAATATGTTATGTACATCGTTATATTCTTCCAATATATGAACTACTATCTTCGATCAAACGTAAGAGTACAAGAACAAATATAATTCTTTTTTATTTTTAAAATAATTTAATTATTTTGTAAATCAAATATATTTATTATTCGATTAAACACTATTTTTGAATTGACTGGAAAAAGTATACTATATGCCAAATCCAAGTCAATGTAAGCTGCTAGTTTTGTTTTAAATAGGTACTAATATATTAAACATTAACTTAATTTCATTTGCCATTTTGTCGAAAGTACATAAAGTTATTGATAGTTAATTGTTGGACTGAATATTCTCTTAGCTGAACAGGAAGGGTATCTATGTTAGGTCATTTAATTTCCAGCTGCGAGTTCGAAACCTAAAAATATTAGTCTAATTAAGCAGTTTGTCATTGTTTATAAACCCGATTAGATTGCGTATCAACAAATCTATTAAGAAATATTTGTTCCAATATTTTATAGACAGGTGGACCGGTATTGCTAGAAATTGGTACTCTCCCTTTGTTCCATATTAATGGATAATTATAATAAAAATATTTGTCGCATATTAGTTATCCACCTTAATAAATTAAAAAAGCATTAATTATTTTTTTTCTATATTATCTTTGCAATTAATTCTTTTTAAAATGTTCACATTTGATTGTTTCCCAAGAAGTTTTTTTAAGGAGTGAATTAGTAAAATTATCTTTTTATTTATGAATTTTTTAAGCACTTATAAAATAAAAAATAACCAATTAATATGAGACGGAGGGAGTATATATTAGCTAAAAAAACTATTAACATGTGTGGGGCAAGATTGTCAATGTTACAAATTACAACTGCCTTCATTTGATGAATATTAATTATTATTGGTATATAATATTTTTTTAAGGTTACATTGATGATTTCCAAAAATGAAATATTTTGATTGTGGTTTTTTAATTACTCTAGGATTATATTATGTGTCGAGGATTTGTACAATTCACGGATTTTTTTTAATCAAGAAGTTTAACTTTTATGGATAATAGTATTATTATTTTACATTTATACGTTCTAAAAATATGAGAGCACTTTAAGGGGTTATTTCATATTTGGTTGATAGATGAGATAGGTAAAGATATCTCATGATATTATTTTATCTCACAGTCTATATGAAATAACTTATTTCATTATTTAAACTGAAATGGTGGGGTTGAATAATTCTGGTATTAAATAATACTCTCTCTGTTCCAATTTATATGATGTTGTTTGCTTGATATGGAGTTTAAGAAAGTCTATATGAAATAACTTATTTCATTATTTAAACTGAAATGGTGGGGTTGAATAATTCTGGTATTAAATAATACTCTGTCTGTTCCAATTTATATGATGTTGTTTGTTTGATATGGAGTTTAAGAAGTAAAGACTTTTGAAACTTGTCGTCTAAAACAAGTCATGGATGCTTGTGCGACTAAAAATCATTTTATTTAGTATAAAATAATTTTTTAAAAAGTTAAGTTATTACTAAATATAAAAATATCTATTTTTTTTTATAAAAATTGGGACTATAAATATAAAATAAAATAATAATAGAATTATATCCTTATCCACCCCCAAGAACCAAAAAGTTGATCACAAATACACAATATGGAGTTGAGTTTAGTTTCTCACACTTTAATGAACTCTGGTATGGATTTACACAGCCCAATATCAAAGGAACGGAAAGCCCAAATACTCATAAACTAATAACACTCATAACACGTGTCAGCTATTCCCCGTGTTTACGTAGCTCCGAATGAAAAAAAATATCAGAAAGAGTATTTGTTAGTAGAACGATAGAAATTGAGCGGTCTAGTTTTCATAATTCCCCAAAATCATCCGCCAGACATGGCTGTTGTTCAAATTTCCAGCTCTCTCTGCACTTCAATTCGTGGTATTTCTATTTTGTTTTTGTTTCTAAAATTGAAAGAATTAACAAAAACTAATGTAATGTTTTTGCAGATGTTGTTATGTCAAACCCAGTAAGCATTTCTTCTATTAAGGGCTCAACTCGTACTCAATTTGGGACTACTTTTGCAACTGGTTCTCCCCTCTGTAAGCCCACTTTTCCTCTCTTTGTTGAATAATCAATTGGTGCATTCAGTGCCGGATTGAGGATTTTCATATTTGTGTTGTATTTTCTACTCGTTTATATAAGAATATAATCATTTGTATTTTTAATTTTTGTTTATCTTTTGCTGCTCTTTGTTTTATTCTATCTAACATACAATTTTATGCTGATGTATATGTTACTTAGGTCTTAGTCTACTATATATAAATTGTTTATCTTTTCAGGCTCATTCCTTGAAGATGAATTTATCCTTCACTTAATTATTTATGAGAAGCAAAGCTCGAATGAAGACCTCTTGAAATGAATAAGCAACATATGTTGTCATTTCCGTTATTTGCTATCATATGTATATTTACCCATGGAGCTACCCCTTCTATCATGACTATTTGTGAATTTCATGTGCTTTTAAAAGAAGAGGATTCTGGGCTTAGTATGTGATTAAAAATTATATCATGACATTAAAATTGTGGAACTTATGACTCTTGCAAATATGTGTAAACAAACGGTTCATCAGTAAACACATACCTGAATCTAATATGATTCTTGTGTGGGTGATCAACTCTGATATCTTTATATTGCGATGGTTTGAGGGGGTCTTTTTTCTCCCTCCCTTCCCTTTTTCTTTCAGTTGACATTTATAGAGAATGTTGCTCTTCCTTGAGGTAGAGAGTGGACTAGTTTCTGTGAAAGTCTTTTGTATCATGTTCCATCATATGAGAAGTGGCTTAACCATTTAATTAGAGAGGCTGCTCTACCTTTGATCAATTATATGTTGGTCTCAATATTATTTAAATTAATTACCAAATAGATAAGTGCAACTAATCACGCTGGTCACACCTTAATAGCACACTGGGAAGAATGCAGGTCCCTTCCTTCTTGGTGAATGTTCGAGCCTAATGCTTGTATGTTTTTTTCTTTTCTTTTATATATATTGAGTGGTGGTGTAGATTGGGGGAGTGTTCTATCCATGCTATGCAAATTTGGAGCCATTACAGTATATTTTAAATTTGCAAGTCCCTCTACTAGTGGTTAGGAACTAATACTCAGTATTTACAGTGATCAGGAACAGTTTCTCTCGAATAAAAGCTATGCCAAGTAGAGCAGCATCACTTTCCATACGATGTGAGCAGAGTAGCAAGGAAGAAAGTAATTTGGATGTATGGCTTGGTCGATCTGCCATGGTTGGTTTTGCAGCTGCTATTAGTGTAGAAATAGCCACAGGCAAAGGACTTCTGGAGGTAGGTCATTTACTCTCATGTTTTTATTAATGTGTACTATATATTGTACAACAGATTGGATTCATAACATGTCTTTAATTCGGTGGAACATGTTAAAGCATACCTGTTACTTTGATATATCATATCTTACCAAATTACAACTTATCCTAATCTCAGACATCGGTGGATTGGAAACATGATGTTTCATATACCTCATGAAATTGTTTCTACTTCTGTTCATCCAAGTGGGGAAAAAAAAGAAGCTTCCCTCGTGCATCTACATATATTGGACTGTCATGTTGCGAAAATTGAAAGAGAATAGAGTATAGGCAAACAGCACCGCTATAGTAACTGAGTTCAGCAGACAGCACATAGATTTGAGATTCTGCTTTTGGGTTGTGATTTTGAATGTTCAGTAGTCTATCTGTATATCGGAGTTTGTTTTATCTGTCTTCTTTTTCATTATTCTGTCATAAACATTATGATTTTATCCATCATATAACTGTTTGAAAAACTACATGAATTAGTAATTAAACTTATTCTGTTCTTTTCAGAATTTTGGGGTCTCAGGGCCCTTACCCACAGTAGCATTGGCAGTCACTGCATTGGTGGGCGTTCTGACCGCTGTCTTCATCTTCCAGTCTGCGTCAAGGAACTGATTATTTTCTTTTCTCTTCTTGTTTATGTATCTAAAGAGTGATATTGATGCATCCTTATTCATCTAAACAAATATTATCACTTTGTCAATAGAAATTCTATTCACTGCTGAATTTTCCCTTACTTGAACCTTGTAAAAAATAGTTTACAGTTAATCCCAAGATAGATCAACAGATGCTGTTTTCAACTAACATTTTCATATCAAATGTACAAAAACATTACGCGATTTCACTCCTTCCTACATGCCCAAGCTTTGGTGCGCGCAAAGTTATAATATCCATATTGATAGGAAGTACTAGGTAGCAGGTATCTATGATACGGTTCATGTACACAAGCTGACCTAGATATTATCGCGATTTAGCAAAGAGAAACTCCCATATTGAATTTCATCAAAAAGAAGTACCTATCGATTCTTTGTTGTGTTAGCTTTTTGAGCAAGTCTTTTTAGAAAAGTGCCTTTGCTCACTTTGCATATTATATTTCGATTCCTCTATTTTGCGAGGAAATTAATCTCTATCTTTTAGAATTAGTTTATTTTAAGTATAGTAAGATCATATACAAATAAAATATTTTAATTTGAGAAAGCCCAAAAGAGAAAAAAAAGGCAACGATGGAGCCTTGATTACTCAAGTAGTGAATTGATCAACCCATCTTTTTGACCATTAAAGTAAATCAATGCACCTCTTTGGTATTATTCCAACAGCTCAATTTAAGCAACTCTTTTTTGCCTTTCTCACTAACGGTACTTAACAACAAAGAAATCTCACAACAGTTAACTCCGGGAGGAAATAATGTTTTACGGCCACTTACAAATTAGATTAAAAAAATGACCTTTTTAGATTTCTCATTTGTAAAAATAAAGATCTCATATAAAAAAAGACATAAAAGTAAAAACAAGTTTATAAAGGACTACAAAATCAAATTTCTGGAATATCTCACCATAAAAAAGCAATCATATAAATAAATAATTTAAGTTCGCCGACGAATAAGTGAATTGCGCAATTTAACCTGCTATGTTAGACGGATAGACATTCAAGACTAATTTGAAGTTAGATTCAAAACTCTAGTCGTTTTAAATTTCTTTTTGGTTGCTCCATTAATAGTATCGTATATTTTTTTATACCAAAATAATTTGAACATATTTAATGAACTTCATAACATAAATACAAGATTCTAAATCAAAATTATTAAGTTCTATTGAACATATACGAAGGAACACTATATCATATTTTGTTGGTTCATGCCTTGCTAATCCTACAGATTTAGTCAGCGCTCCAATGCGAACTTCAAATAGCGGGTGAAAAAAAAACTCTACTATTATTGAAAAACTCAAATAAATACACTCTTGATCAATTTGTCAAACTTACAAACACTTTCATCAATTACAACACAACGGTTCTTCTCATCTTTATGGAGCAAAAATCTTTCCAAGTCAAAAGAAGAACAAATTAAAGAGAGCTAAACAGCTCTTTATAGCTTTTCTTGGTTCCAACATAATGATTAGTAATGTGAATAACCTGGTACTTTATCAAGCACATGAAGGGCATCTTTCATTGTAGGCCTTTTTTGTGGATTCAATGATGCACAACTAAAACCTAACTTAAACAATGACACCGTGGTCTCTTCCCTACTCTCCACGTCAGCTCTAATCGCCACATCAGCCATCCTCAAAATCCGGTCCACGTCATCCGATTCTGAACCGTTGGTCCACTGGCTCAACTCCCGGTCCGAGAATACTTTCCCGGTTAAAAGCTCAAGCAACACAATCCCAAATGAGTAGACATCCCATTTAGGACTAGGTTTGAGACTCTCCAACGACTCCGGGGCGTGGTAGGGGGACGTGCACCCTACCACGAACCCGGCTGGGGCAATGTAAGGACTTCCATGAACAGGTTGATCATTTAAACCGTCCCGGGAGGAGGATGTGGACCGCTTGCTACCGAAATGCCGGCCCGAATTATCCGGTTTGGAGGTGTTTTTACCATGCATTAGCCCATGAAGCCCAATGTCACTTATTATGGGCTCCATATCTGGTGTTAAGAGAATGTTACTAGGTTTAATATTGCCATGTACTTGTCTCTTCTCGTGGATGTAGGTCAATCCTCTTGCAATTCCTTTTGCTATCTTGAGCCGAACTTCATATGATAAATGGTAAGGAGAGGAACCAACTTTTCCTGAAAAATTTAACAATAACAATGTTAAGTTAATAAAAGATGAATTTTCAACGTCATATGACTGAAAAACAATAATAATACACTCAATATAATCTTAGACGTGGAGTTTGAAAAAATCAAGTCTCCGAAACGTTGTGGTAGTACAATATTGAGGAGAAGGGGTGCACATGTATTTTGACGTATTATATGTATTGTAGTATAGTTTGGGGACTTTCACGGATTATGACAATGTCACATGGAGGACCATTGGGAGCCTCAAAACACAACCACATATGAAGTATAGTATCTGCAAAATTGAGTAACGAAAATCCATGCCTATGTGTAGTATATGTACACTAAAATTAAACTACTTGTTTTTCTAATGACAGACAGTGTACTTAAAAAAGGAGTCGTTTCGTAGTTGGTCTAGACGTAAGTTATGCAGGTATTAATTAAGTTCTGCAAAAGTAATAGTATTGTCTTTGGTAGCTCTGGTTTGCAATTTAAAAACCCTCATGACGAATACATGATGAAATAACTAATCACTGCATAACTAATATGAGCATGAAATAATATCAATTCCTATATTACTAATATCAGCATAATTCTAATCAGCTATCAAACGATCCCTTAGTACAGTATTTATAAACTATAGGCTTTAATGTTTTTGTTAAGTGACAAATCAGGGAATGTTGCTGCAAATATATCAGTGACATTAAATGTCAAGTACACTTGACTAATCAGAATATTTGGGGGTAATTATGATAAGGACAGAAAAGATTTATCAAAACTATAACTATGATAAGATAATGAAGATGAAAGGAAAGTAACTTACTGTAACCAATATTGGCTAAGCTTCCATTAGTAACATAATCATAGATGACTAATTTCTCATCATCTCCCCAATAGAATCCTCTAACACGAACAAGATTTGGATGCCTTAGCTTGTTAATTCCTTTAATTTGTTGCTCAAAATCCTTCAATTTATCAACACCACTCTCGCCAATTCTCCTAACAGCAAATGCAGTTCCATCTTCTAACACAGCTTTGTAAACTATGCTAGCTCCACTTGACCCCAAAATATAAGCTGAAGCTTTCAACAAAGTCTCTAGCTCTAATTCTGTTTCACCATCCACCATTACAAATGACCTTTCTGTTTTCTTGTTTTTCTCATTCTTTTGTTCTGTTTCATACTCAATTTGGTCTTCACTTTCTTGGTTTTTGCTGTCATCAGTATCTGAACTTTCTTGATTTATGGTCAAGCATGGCCAACTAGGAAAAATGGTGTCTTTTTCTTTTACAACAAGTATTGATGGTTCTGGTGTTTTGTTGTATTTTTGATCTTTGTCAAATGAGCTTTCTATAGTTGCCTCACTTGCTTTATTCTTCTTCTTCAATTTGTAGACATAAAGAAAGACAATAGCAAGAACACCAACACCAGCTAAGTCACCAACTATGATTCCCATTATGGTACCTGGCTTTAGCCCATGTTGTTGTTGATTCTGAGCTGCAGTTTGAGTTGTTCCATCAGAATCTTGAAGTGGGGTTGAGTTAATTTCTTTTGGAATGGCTGCAATTGCTGGAGGATTAGTGGTTATATTAGGTGGAGATGAAAGTGTTGAAGGGATTGTACAGAGTTTCTTGAGTGGTTTGCCACAAAGATCTGTATTTCCTGCAAAGAATTCTGTTTTCTGGTTTGATAAAGCTAATGACTCTGGGATTTCACCTGTAAAGCTGTTGAAAGAAAGATCAATTGTAGCATTTGTTGGTATTTTCTTGGCAAATTGTGGTGACACTAAACCAGATAACTTGTTTGATGAAAAGTTCAAGTATTTCAAACTATCACCACCAAAATCATCAGGTAATGTTCCATTCAACAAGTTAGAAGAAAGATCCAACACTTCAACAAACTGAAATCCACTTGGTATTGCACCAGAAAATAGGTTTTTACTCAAAGAAACAACTTTTAGATTCTGCAAAGAACTTAGCTTTTGTGGGATATTTCCTACAAATGCATTGACAGAAAGATTTAGAACCTTTAAGCTCTTTAACACTCCAACAGACTCAGTAAGCTCACCAGAAATAGCATTGTTTGACAGTGAAAGAACTTGAAGTTCAGAAGCATTGAGAAGTGAAACAGGAAGTGTTCCATTCAAGAAATTATTTGAAAGATCGATAGTATGAAGATGTTGAAGAAAGCCTAATTCTTGTGGAACAGAACCAATAAGCTTAGAATTTGGGAGTAATAAACTAATGACTCTAAACATGTCTGGTGCACAAGTTACACCAGTCCATAAACATGGGGTTGCATCATTATAGTCCCAATTATCAAGAACTGATAAAGGGTCATCAAGAACAGAGTATTTGAAAGACAATAAGAGAGTTCCATCTATGTTGAGACCAAATGAAGGACATAAAAGAAGAAAGAAAAAGACCCCAAATGACCAGAAAGAATAGTAATGCTCTGAGATAGTCATCATTTCTTGAAGTGATTATTCATGATTACAGCATAATACTTTCTATATACATAAGAAGAAAGAGGAAGAGGTAAACCAACTACTGGAGAAGTTGTTTTGGTGACCAAAAAGGCAGCAAAAGATGGAGAATTGTAAGGCAAAAAAAAAGAAGTGTTGTGGTTCACTCTGCTACATAATGAAATGATATTGATATAGGAGTAGTAGTAAAAGGGTACTTGAAGTAAGTATGGGAAAACAAAGTGAATGGCTATTATTGTACTACTTTGTTTCTGTCCTCATTCTGTTCTAAATTTAACTTATCTATATACTCATAGTGTAAAATCATGAATCAGTCTTTATTAAAGATAATAACAGTTTCTACGATAATAATATACTCAATATAATTTTATAACTATAATTTGAAATTATAGAAAAAGATAAAAAATTATATGCAAACGTTACTTTTACTTTGATAAAGATTGAAAGATTTATTTATGATAAATCCTAGATTTACCGACTATTTTAGTGAATTTAAGTAGTCTTTTTTTTTTTTTTTTAAAATTTAAGTAGTCATATACTCATATTATATGAATATTTTAGAAAAAGAAAGGAATGAGGGAATCTTTGTGGTTTTGGTAGAGGACGTTAGCTAAAAAAGAGAGGTGTAATTAAAGTCCACCTCCTATTGACTTTTTCCCCACTCCATTTTCATGTTTCCAATGCTACCTTCTTTCCAAATTTTCCTTATGAGTGAACATATCAAGAATACGTAATATATAAACATATTTTTTAACGTGACTTCAATTGATATCTTTATTTTCTAGATTTGATTTTGTATAAGTAGATATTTAAATTTATATTTATAAAATTCAATAAATAGATACATTCATTCTACGTGACATTCTATTTATTTAATTTTATACAAATTTAAATATCTATTTATATACACTCAAAATTAAAAGACATATATATCTGTTGAAGCCAAGTTAAAAGATTTATTTATATATTATGCCTTTTTTTTAAAAAAGGAGCCTCAGGGAATGGGTCACTTATTAAAATCAATCAATTGATACTTCAGTGATAAATATAATAATCAACTTGTTATCATATTTTTAAAATTAGCTGATAGTGTAAAAGGATCTTAACATGATATATAACGTAAATCCATAAAATAAATATTTTTCACTAGTTCCCTCCTATGATCTGTTTGGAAAACACTGTATAAGTATATATAGTTATGTAATTACTAGATTAATAGTTACATAATCCAGTAATTTGTTTATCATAACGTAATTATTATATATTTCAGTCATGTCATGTTTGGTAACATAATTATAATTACATAATTTGATATTCTTTTATTTAAATAAAGCTAATAATAAAAAATAATTTAAACTTTTTCATATGAATGTTATATAAGATTTAATGTATGACAAGAATATGTGTATTAAAAGTGATTTTGTTTTAAAGTTATCTAGAAATTATAATATGTAATTATCATCGATTCTTTATTTTCCTCGAGAATTAAAGAGTGTAATTGTTACTCTCAATTTGCTTGGAAATTAACAATGGTTCTCGAATGTGATCGTATCCCGAATGTAGACTCAAGACGTGACGATAACTTTCCGAACAGATGCAAGAGTTTTCATGTTTGGATTTTAATCTCGTGATTCACTCTTTTTTTTTTTTATAATCTTACAAAAGTGAAATGATAAATTATTGCACTAGCTTTTATGAGATGACAGTGAGTCACGGAGAAGAACTTTATTTATAGTTGTCTTACGATCAACAGTAAAAAGCATAATGAAGAAAAAGGAAAATTATGGTAAATTTTGTACACATTGGCCCTTGCTTTTGTTTTTTTACTAACATTTAACCCTTTAAAAAGGTAGTCTATTCAGAAAAGACATGAATTCACCGACATGTTCTTACAATGGGTCCATTACAAAAAAATAAAATAAAAATCAAAGTAAATAATTTATTTTATCAATATTAATTATTGGTTTTGGTGTCTAATCCTCAACTACTCTACTTTGATAATACCAATACAACTAAAATATAATTTTAGACCATATCTTAAAATATACTTAGCAAATATGTTACTACTAAATCATTTGAATTTCAAACATAGGTCAATAAAACAAATGGCTAATGGCTAATCTACTTTTCAAATGTTTGTCAAAATATAGCATCTAAATTACTAAAAAACTATTTGAATTTCAAACGTAGGTTAATAATACAAGTGAGTAATGGCTAATATACTTTAAAATGTTTGTCTTATTTCTTAAATTGGTCAATACCACCAGCTCCTTAAGCCAATAAAAACACTAAACTACATGGTCCTATTAAGATTATTATACTTAATTAATTAAAAGTCTATGTTTAGCTTAGTATATTTTGTTACGGTAATGTTCTGTTAGATGTTATTCTTATGTAATTTAGTGAAGCATTGAAATTCTTTAAAGTTATTAATCCAAGAAAGGTTACTGAATAAAACTCTAGTATATAAAACAATCAATTTTGAATTGAATTAATTCATCAACTAGATGCCAAAAAGAAAATGAACATTAAATTTGAACCCATTTGACATTTTGATTAGTCTTTGCCTAGCTGTGGATTATAATCAATTTTGAGTTTTTGACCCTTTTAACATTAATAAAATAACCAAATATCCATTCAACTACCCAACTTTAGCTGACTTGGATATTTCATATGATCAATGTAAGCTGCTCATATATTACATCTTATATGTACTGATGACAACTTGTTAGTACATGTTACTTTATTTTATGATCTCATCTCATTTATTATGGACGGCTATCATAATTATTTTAAAAATTACGTAATATTATAATTATTTTGGACATAGATAATTCGGAACAGGGCGTACTTAGGAGGGGATTACAGGGTTCACGTGAATCTATGCTTTTCTCCCAAAGTCATATATAAAAGTATTATATTTTTTATTTTTTAAAAAATATACTCGAAATATCATATAATGCGATTACGATTGGGTGCACCTCTCTAAATGAGGTTAGAAACAATTTTTCTTTCTAAAATTGGATAATGCCTTTCTAATTGGTTATTGATAGCATTTTTTTATGATATAACACCCATTATCTCGAAATCTTGAATACGTGTGAATGTGTTATCATCTTCTTTTCTAATGGCGTGCAATTTTGTATGTATCATTGGTGTATATGCTTATTACTTATTTTGTTGACTTTATAGCTATTCCTGATAGAAAGTTGCATTCATATTATATCTCAGGAGAATAATTTTTGTCTTATTTTAGTATTGGTCGGCATCACCAATTCATTAACCAAACAAAAATACTAAACTGCATGTTCCTATTATTATTATTATTATTATTATTATTATTATTATTATCTATATTTAACTTAAGTTACCGACATGGCAGACTTAGTTATGGTAACGTTGTGTTTGGCACACTAGACCATTTTCACGGTTTACTTTGTTTTGTTATAAACGTTATTTTTATGTAATTTTCTGAAGCATTGGAATTCGATCATTAAAGTTATATATCCAAGAAAGGTTGTTCAATAATAAGTCCAATATATAAAACAATCATTTTAAAGTTGAATTCAAACATAAATCAAAAGATCAATGAGCATAGAAGACGGATAACATCTTTTTATTTTTAACTAAGGCTCTAAATATGAATTTAGATATGAGTTTAATATTGATTTATATATTTTCAATCTTACACAATATCGTCCAATATTCGATAATAAATTATAAATCTTAGACCTTGATTTAATTATTATTTTTTAAATGGTTTTTTAGTTGCTTAAAGGGAATCTTTAGACCGTAATCTTATATTTTTTCTTAATTTTGTTCAAGAAAAATCTTTAAATCTAAGCAAAAATATTCATAAATTACAAAAAATGATACTCTAATTAAAAATGATCATTTAAGTCCTTAAAACAGTTAAACTCACCAAGCTGCGTTAGCAGTGATAAATCTAGGATAAGGATTTGTGATACATCTAGTTCACTTTTTCCATGTGAGCGAATAAAAGATGGTGGAGAGAGAATAATGATAATTTTTCTGTGATATTTAAATTTGAGATTTTTGATATAAAAGAATTGTACTATATTTATATCGAATAATGATTTATACCATGTTTAAAATAAAAAAGGTTCATTCAGTGCATATATATATATATATATATATATATATATATATATGGGATTATCCAATTTCTCTACATGTTATACAAGAAAAGCACATACACTTATTAGTAAATTTTAACAAAACTATCACTACAAAATGGGTTGCAAAGGTATAACAATCAATTTTATGGCTCATTTGTTGTTTTGACCTGAATATTTTATTAAAAGATAAAAGGAAAATCGTGAACATAATTTTTTTATAATTTATATAAAATAAATTGAAAAGATTATGTGTTATTATGAGATTTCTATGTGAAAATTAAAAATATTTATAAAAATTATATTGGTTGTATAAATAAAAATATTTATTAAAAATAAATTTATAATCTTCTGAATAACAGTATAGAGCTTTGCTAAAACATTGCGTTTGTAGCTACTGAGTAATTTTCGAACAAAACTAGCTATGCAAACTTTACTCTTGCCGGCGGCTCGCCCCGGCATCGGAAGTGCGCCATTAGTTCCTCCACCGGCCGGAAAACCATGGCGGTGTAGCTTCCTCCGATGCTCAAATACCCTAATTTCGTCCCCCTCATCGTTACCTTTTTCCCCTTTGAAAACAGAGCCTCTTAGTTCGCCTCTATTCAGACTCATCAGCAAAAGGAACAGAATCTTGGCTTCTGCTCCCGTTTCTTCACCCTTCACTTCCCCAAATGAAGAGTCTGAAAAAGCTAAGTTAGCTCAGGTACTTCCTATTTCTGCAGTATTTCCAGTTCCCCTTTGTAGCATCTGCAATGTGTACCTAATTGTTAAGAATTGCACCTTTCTATTTGTGTTAAGAGTGTTTTAGCTTTGTGAACTGAATTGGGTTACTGGGAGTGCTAATGGATATGTACTGAATCAATTGCTGCTTTTAGGGTTTTCTTTTAGTGTATGAAAAATTAATAAAAGTTGTAAAAATGCTAAATTTTGTCATTTAATGCTGTATTTGATTAAGGGGCTTTGAACTTTGCTGCATATTTTTGGATGTGAAGTAAAATTGCTTTAATTGGATCCATTGTAGGTTCTGAAAGAATGGGTTTGGGTTCTTAATTGGGATCTTACTGTTTTGAAATGTGCCAAACTAGTCGTGCTGCATTTTATCTTGTTTGATTGATGTATTTGAGTTGGTAGAAAATTTTGAGAACCCCTTCAGAGTCATATTATTGAGCATTGGAATGAAACTGTTCCAAATGGTATGAAATGGAAATTTAGGATTCATGTATCCAATCTTGACTAGTTTGGGATTGAGGCTTACTAAATGTTGTTGTATTTGTGTCTTTGAGTTAGAGACTGATTGATTGGGCTTTGCTCAAACATTTAGGTTGCAAAAAGACTACTGAATACTGCAAGCTACTTCAAGAGATTGGGTACTCTAGGATTTTGGGGACAGCTTGTATGTACGCTTGTTGCTGCGGTGATCCTTTCATTTTCCATTGCTATTACGGGGAGGATTACATCGCCCTTCACATTCTACTCAACTGCAGGCGGAATTGCAGCTGCTTTCATTTCAGTTTTTTGGTCATTTGGCTATCTTCGTTTGTCTGAAAAGCTTCGGAAGACAGCTAATAACCCTTCAAAGGTAACACCCCAGATTTTTCTCAAATTGCTTTTTGAAATAGACTACAGTATGTTGGACTCTCATCCAATCAATATGCAAAAAGAAACAGTGAGAGATTCTTATTAACTTGATGCGAATGACTTGTAATTTTTGGTATAATAGTAATAGGAGTATTTATTACATGGATGTCACCTGAGATGGTGCTTCTTCAGCCATCCAGCTGGCTCTGAAATAAATGTACCATTTGTGAGCCAGATGATGTTTGAAGTTCTAGGTGCTATGAGAAGCTTATGATTCACGTAATCCAATTTTTCCTTCTGCTTTTCTTCAAATTTCCTGATGCTTTTCCTGAAGTTGGTACATTACATCCCTTTGAAGATACACGAAATATATTGGGATATTGATGAACAAAAAGTTTCATGGAGTTGCTCTGGAATGTTTGGTGCTTCCAGAGACATTACCTTCCCTTAGTGGAAAGAGTGCAACAGCGTATGATGTGGATTAGGTGCATGTCAGAAATTCGAACCCTGTTCTGTACAAAAGCTAAGTATTTATATGGAGAAGGATAAAAGGGAGGGGGTGGGGTTTTCATTATCCATTGAGTTTCGAATCATGCACTATTGGCCCTTGGGAATTCCCGCTATAAAAAAACAAAGTTCATAGGTTCCAGTTTTGTGGTTATTTCAATTAAAGCTACAGTTCTGTTCCCGTTCTTTATGGGGTTGGGGACTCGGGGTAATGTGGATCAAGGTGGAATTTCTTGAACAAGATTTGCTAGTGTTTAGAGTAGCTTATGAATTCCCTAATTTTAGCTGTTCTTCTGCTAGCTTTATTGTAACTTGTAACTTCTGAAGTGTATCTCAAATGATTTGATGGAGCTGTTTCACTGACTGCTATTGTTGTAGGCTCCTCCTCGTGCTGATGTTGTGAAAAGCTTGCAAAATGGTATAGTAGTGAACCTTCTGGGAATGGGTGCTGCTGTACTTGGCATGCAAGCAACTGTAGGTATATTGGTGGCTAAGGCTCTTACCACATCAACTAATCCTTACCAGACTTTGACTCCTGGGAGCAGCCCTGTGCTTGCTTTGGATGTATTTCTGGTTCAGGTATGCCATTAAATTGTTCCACTGTTACCATTTGGTATCCTTTGTTAATGTATTAAAACACATTTCATATATTAACCGGTAATTGAAACTGACAGAACAACAAAGAGGAACAATTTGCTTTATATTGTCTCATACATATTACATACACAAGTACTTCTAGGATATTTTATTTGGGTGTGCCATGCCACCTCTTGCCCTTTATCCCTTTGGAAGAGAAGAAGTTACATTTGGAGATGTTCTATTTTATTTTCTTCCCCTCTCCACTACCCAATCATTTCGATGTCTATTTAAAAAACGTCAAGGTTTCTTATTTGTTATCATGACTAGGACTACTGTATGAAATTCCTGTGTGAGGTCAAGCCGGGAGAACCATGTTGGTCCCTTTTCACCTCTTGATCTTCATGCATGTGTAGTCTAATGCCAGTGTCATGGTGCATTTTCGACGTGTTCAATGATCTCAAGAGTTGCTAATCTCTGCTGTCCTACATGTTATCTTTACAGGCATCAGCAAATACGATCGTTTCACACTTTCTAGGTCTAGTATTCTCATTGGAGCTGTTGCGCTCAGTCACCTTACCAACTTCAGACAGCATTCCGGTTCCAAGGATTGCATGACGTGCTTGGAAAATCAACAACATAATACTTGAGAAAGCTTCAGCGATATGCTTTTGAGATCACAGCCATGTATTTACTGTAATATGAGTGACCTTCTCCTTGGTGACTTGCATTAAAATGATTTTTGTTTTTCCAATATCTGAGAGGCTTCTGATAAAAATTTCAATTACTGTCATTGTATTTGCTTTCTGGGGCATCTTTAAAAAAAGGGTGAATTGTTTGCCACCAGTTAAAGACTCCTCTCACAGTGCAAGAAGATCCTAACGCCCTCTTTAGCTGTGTTGGTCTACTAGGAAATAAAATATCGACCTCTTTCTTTCTACTGTATGTTTTCCCTTTTTTTTCTTCTCTGCAATTGTTCCTTTTTCTTGTTTTAAATCTATTTATTCTTTGGAGTAAGACAAGTATGACAATGTTGAGAACATTTTAAAAGGAGTTGCAGATTTAGAATTTATTTTGGAAAATTGTATGACATTTTCAAAATGCTCATAGTGGAATCCTGGTCTTAAACATACATGAATAGCTTTTTTCTTCTCCACCTACCAAACTTTGTATTAATTATATACCTGAATAACTTTTTTCTTATCCACCTATCAAATGTCGTATAAGTTATACGGACTTTAATACATGAATAAGGTTTGTTTTATCCAGCTACCAAACGACTCCTTAGTGTTAACCATATCCTGAGCTCTTTAAATTGGCAAGTCGATTGCTTAAACAAAATCCAAAACACACTCATCAACACACACTGATGAATGTTGTGCCCTGCCCTTTCTGATTAACAGTAAATTACATAACAATGAGTAAAACCCAAGTTCTCATGGACAGTCCTGGTCCAACACATTAGGTTCTCTCCTGTAAAAATGCAATCCACAGTTGTCAGACAACGGGATAAGAAAGTAAAAATGAAGCAAATCTACATCTGGCATGAAATCTGAAACTCAGCCCATAGAGGTTTTGATAGAAATTTTATTCAGCAATCTTACCAAATGAGTGGCATGAAATCTGAAACTCAGCCCATAGAGGTTTTGATAGAAATTTTATTCAGCAATCTTACCAAATGAGGTCTGATATGAAAAAGCACGTGAGGTCTAACAGCTAGGAAGGAGCACAGACAATGGATTTGATGGTGCGGAAGTCACCTTTTCAGCTCAATGTGAGTTTTCTAGTTGGATTTGCTGCCAAATCATCGTTCAATGAGAATGGGTAACAGGCTCGTGGAATTGAGGTCAGAAGCAAGGATGGCTATATATCTGGGAGCAAACTCGGCAGAAATGAAGCGCATGCATACAAGTTATGCCTTGGAATAAAAGAATTGACAATCCTCTTAGTCCACGAGCAAGGAAGCTCTATATATCTCATGGAGAGGTTGATCCAGGCCCAGATAAACTTTGGTGGCAGTGAGATGGAAACTGGCCATTCCAGTGGCAGACAGGTGATATACTACTTACAGTTCAAAAATTCAAATAGCTTATTACCATACCTGCTTATTTTGATGTTCTATCTTCTCATATTTGTAATGTGATATTATAAGGAACACACTTCAATTCTACATGTTTATGTTATCCACCCTTGGCTCTTTATCTTAGAGTACCAAAAGAATAAGCCAGTACTATCACATAATTCACCATACGTGAATCGCTTAAAGCTACAAGATAACTTGTCCAAATGAAGTGCACCAGCATTCCATCTAATCATTTTAGAAGATTATCATTTCAAATTGGGTCATAAATCAAGCATTAATGTAGGAACTACTCCATGTTATCTTGAATCAAGGCACACATTTTTAAGGATCTCCCACACATTATATTACTATAATAAAGAAAAAAGGATCATCTTAAAATAAATGAATTAAGAATAAATAAGAAGATCAATCTGGTTTACATACGTCAAGAACAATTATAACAAACCACACGTATATTATTGGTTAATTACTCGAAAAAGGTCTCATACCGTCATTGAACATCTAGCAATCAAGCACCTGCTTGAGGAGACCTGATCTGTTGTCCCAATTCCTCATCAGCCTTTTTAAGAAACTCATCCCAACCACTACCTGGACTAGTATCCAGGTAATCATAAGGAACAGCAGTTTTCAAACCAGGACGAACCCCACACTGGCTTTCTACAAGTCTAAACTCCAAGTGATCTCCCTCTTCATTCGAATTAACTTCCAATTCCTCCCAGGCGAAAAGCAAAGGCAAGGTAAATGCTCCCCAAGGATTGAAATCCAAAAGCTTGACCCGGTCATCATTTGTGACATATATATCAAAAGTATAACTTTCTGATTCAAAATTTCCCTTCACCTTATATATAAAAAATCTCTGGATTATTGTTATCAACTCGTCTTTCTTCTCAACAAGAGCAGGATAAAATCCAGTCACCTCGCGCTGAGAGACCCCCACAAGGATCCCATTGCGTACAAAGCAGCGAAATTCCATCTCGGGGCGCAGGGATGAGTACCATTTGCGAAGTGCAAGGAAAAACTTTGGGGGCCTTGAGACAGTCTTATCACTGCAGGAATCATACACATGGCACAGATCATGGACTAGAGAATCCGATGCCCGTAGTAAAATTGCAACCTCACTGAAAGAGTTGCAACAAAGATTCCCAGTTGAACTGATCCATGCAGCATCTTTTGGTGCACTCCAATTAAGCTTAGGGAAGATAGAGCCCCCAAGGGCCTTTATAGATTCCTTGATCTTCATTTCCAGTTCCGGGAAAGAAGGAGGAGGTGACGGTTGTTCTGATTCATCTTCCGACCCTTCAGATACTTCAAAGTCTTCCTCTTCTTCAGGTTTATGGATCCTATTAGGCAGTGCATCATTGTCATCAATGGAAAGGGGGAGAAGGAATGGACCATGATCATCAATAAGGTACTCTATAAAGGATTCAGGCAGTTCATGAATCATTGTTTTTATGGAATCAGATTTAAATCTGGGATACCACTCCTGAATCTGGCACCTATTTACTTCTTCCTCTTTCATTTTTCTTTGGAAAGTAATAAACTTTACTCTGAAACAAAAATTATCAATAATCAAATTTACTATAAGCAGCTGCTAAAGGTTAAAAAATATGAGCCAACATATACAGAGAATCAAAGGAATGAGGTTGCCTAACAAAAAATTAATGATTTAAATGGATTTTATGAAACAAGAGACAAGGAAAAGAAAACGGAGCGAACGTTTGGGGTAACAACAACAACTAATTACATCTACATATGCAATCAAGTCAAGTATTAGTTGGATTTGTGCACAGTAATCCCAACAACAACATACTCAATGAAATCCCACAAGTCGGATCAGGCACAGTGGAGAGTGGTAAGGAAGTACGCAGACCTTATCTCTACATTCTAATTTATTGAATGATCGAATTACTCTCTTTATGGATGGCAAATATCAAATTTTTGCAGTTGTACGTAGTTTTTACCCTTCATCTTAACAATTCACTCATCATACTATTATATAGCTAACATAACTATTTAATTATAAAGGAAACAGAAAACTCCGACTGTTAACAGAAACCGCCTGAACAAATCAATCATCACCAGCACGCGTTTTTTGAACAAATCAATCATGAAGGCACGCGTTTTTTTTTTCTTTTGGAGATTTAAAGCAGAAAAAAAAACAGTGAAGCTGAGAAAGTAACTAAAATCTAATGGAAAAAAAAGGAGAGAAAAACTTACTGCTAGCCACTGAAAACGCAGAGATGGAGGAAAGGAAGAAGAGACCAAAGATGAAGAAACCGCTGGAAGAAACAAGAAAAGAAAAGAAAAGACACGTTAGGTCTAGGGCTTTTTGTAATTGAGGGTAATGTTGGAATTACAAGAAAGTTATAAGGGAGATTACCAATTCGACTCAAGTCGGCGGCCTGGCGCTAGTAAGAAGTTAGCTTATTTTTTAAAAAATTAAAATAATTTTGCAGGCTACTTACCATTTATTTTTTAAAATTTTATGTTTTTTTAATAGGAAATTCTCATAAAGATATTTAAACACGTCATTTTCTTTTTATTTAATTTGTAATTGGCAAAGAAATTTTATTTCCTCCTAAGCTTCTTAAAATTAGATGAAAATTAAAAACATTTTATTTATGCTCTTGTTCTTCCTTATCTCTCTTTAACAAAAAGCATAAAACACTCTTCACTTCTTTTTCCAAGATTTTCACTAATCAACCTATTAATTCGAGATGGGTCATAAAATTAATTAATTAACGAAGAATCAAGAAAAATATTCATTTATTCTTTAAAAAAATTAATTCCAATACGTTGTTATATTCCTATAGATATTTCTCTTTCTAACCAAACAATTACTTTTGTACACCTATTGTGATTCCTACTACAAGAGTATAGGGACAAGCATCCATACGATCCCATAGACTTATTTTAAGGATTCCAATTCAAAATACGGAAGAAACAAGTGTTTCCACACTCTACCACCTAATCAATTCTATTCCACTTAATCCCTCTTTCATGGCACATATCTTTCCGGCTAAGGAATTGGAAACCTTTCGCCTGTTACATGAATCCAATTTTCATTTCTAACAATAGAATCCAATATAGTACTATCGAAAGCATCATTACAAATGATCAACCTGATTCATTGAGCAGTCTTTTTGCTTAAATACACCACTTTGACGACTCCATCAAACATGATAAAATACTGTCCATTAATGTTCAAACAAAACTTTGCTAATTAGCATAATATAGAACACAATGTGTTATCATTTTCTACAACACAATATTGGTCAATACTACTGTAAATAAAACATGATCTTTCAATGTCATTTGGGAATGGAGGTCTGCCTGCTAACAGTAGATTCCCAACAATAAATTAGCGGGAAAAAACATAACCAAAAAAAAAAAAGGAAAAAAAAAAGAGAGAGGAAGGATGAAATTCTGCAAATTGATTAAACTGCAACACCCCACAACATTCATATCAATCAAATATAGCATTTCTCCACCATCACCTCAGCCAGCCAAAAGGGAAACCTTTTTTTTCAAAGTTACCTAAAAGAAATTTGTGTGAAAGAGCTGACCATCAACTAACTACAAAGGTGAGATATCAACCCAAAAAAAAAAAAAAGGAAAAAACGAGCTGCAGTTACTTAGGTGCTCAAAGCAAACTAGATTAGAGTACAAATACTAGGAGACGAGCATAATAAAGATTCTAAATCAATAGCAAAAGAGAACTTCTAGATTATGCACTGGCTCCATTGAAATGCTTGTGGATTACCAATCAAAATGACCATGCCACTATTTCAATGCCAATCATATAAACCATTACTTCATCTGCCACAGACACTTCCACTAACAAAGGTCATCGACAACCATTCACAAAAATAAGAAAAACACTAGTAAGTTCAGCCTTCTTTAAAACTCTGCTTTGCAAGGCAATCAAACCTCATCCCAACGATGTTGGATGATGCAATCCTACAGGTCAACCTACAAATCAATAAAACAGATTTCAGAAAATTTTGAGAATGAAGTTTCAGTCATGAACACAGAATAATGCAGCTAAGCTATCTGCTTTAATCTTACTCTACTTTCAAGGGGAAACAAAATTGAAATGGAAGAAAAACAGTTGTGCAATCAAGAAAAGGAGCAAAGGGGACATATTCCCTCTCATAGTTAGCAGAAGATCGAAGGTGAGGGTGGAAGCAAAAATACCTGTACTTCTACAAGCTGCCTTTGGATGTTGAGTGAAGGAATATTTCAAGAACTTAATTCTCTATCTGGTTCATGTAAATCATAGCTCTAAGCTAAAATCAGGACACGAGCTAAGGATCTCACTCCAAAGTCATTAACAAGCTAATTGCCCGTTTCACGTTTCAAACCCACAGGTATCCCTTTGAATCCAAACCCAGAAACTTATATCAGCAATTATGAAGTAATCTAAAGGTTCAAAAAAATCCCAAATTAGTGTATCCGGTTAAATCTATTCTGACCAACTTGTTTAAACTTTTGAGTAATTTAAGAGAGTGAGCACACTGTAAGGGATTAACGGAAGCTTTTATGCGCACAAGGCTTATTTAGAAAACTAATCACAATTATAGAAGGAATAATTATGTATAACTAATTCTTGGCATTAAGAAAAATAAATTATATCAAAAGTAAAAGCACTTTTCACCTTGAACAAGTCTCCTTTATTTCCATTTGTTCTAAGAAAAAATTACTTTGCATTCCAAGAACCTTTTTAGTTTGTCTAGACCTATCGCAGAAAACCTCTAGTATTAGGGAACTAGTAATTTGTCTTAACAGAAGAACAATTGAAAATTGGATCCAAATGGCATAGAATGGATATTGATGATTCCTACTACCTAAAAAAACTAGTTTAGGAATGAGGTGCAGTAACAGTATAGTGGTTGTTGCATGGTTATATCTATTCTATCCATAAGTAAGTGGCCTATTTTATTTTTTGAGAATACACAAGGTGATATTTGACTATACCATCAGTGTATGAAGTCAGTAAACAAGAGAAAGGAACTCATAAATTTGCTAGATTTTCTAAAATAAAGTAATTAATTTCGATGGGAAAAAAATCAAAAAAACTCATAAGGTAACTTTTTTTGATGACACTCATAAGGTAACTTTGAAAAGAAGGTAGCATGGGAAAGGAGAAAATGGAGTGGGGGGAAAAGTCAATAGGAGGTGGACTATAATTACACCTCTCTTTTTTGCTAACGTCCGCTACCAAAAACACAGATTCCCTCACTCCCTTATTTTTCTAAAATATTAACAAAATATGAATACCTAACTTTTGAGTCAGGAATTATCGAAAACGATCTTTCTATTTTATAAAGATAAAGATAAAATCTATCTATTGTTTATTCTTCTTCAATTTCACTTATAAAATTATATTAAATATCATATTGTTGTATAAATCTATAATAGAGGCTCATTCATGGTTTTAAATTTTCTAGGTTTAATTTTAAAGATTATGCATTGAATTCATTACATTATTAGAATTCTTGGTTTGATAATATAGATAATTTTTTAAGTGATCAGTATAATTTTAACTTGTTGTGAAAGGTTATTTGCCAGAGTTTTTTTGAAACCTCAGGATAATCCGCAGCCGTTACAACCTCTGCCGAAGTCTTCGCTCTTCGAGTGAGCACTCTGTGCGCATTGGGTAAACCCCCCCGCAGGTTACTAATTTTACTTAATAATCGTTAAAACTGACCTGATAGAGAAAAAAGTTTAACAATATCAGTACAAATAAGTTATATTTAGAACAAAATGAGGACAGAAACAAAGTATTTCAATATTAGCCATTCACTTTGTTTTCCCATACTTACTCAAGTACCCTTTTACTACTACTACTATATATCAATATCAGATTATCAAAATTATCATCTATGTAGCAGAGTGAACCAGAACACTTTTCTTTTTTTTTTGCCCTATACTTCTACATCCCTTGCTGCCTTTTTGGTCACCAAAACAACTTCTCTAGTAGTTGGTTTACCTTTTCCTCTTTCTTCTTATGTATATAGGAGTATTATGCTGTAATCATGAATAATCAGTTCAAGAAATGATGACAAACATAGATGGAACTCTCTTGTTGTCTTTCAAATACTCTGTTCTTGAAGACCCTTTATCAATTCTTGATAATTGGGACTATAATGATGCAACCCCATGTTTATGGACTGGTGTAACTTGTGCACCAGACATGTTTAGAGTCATTAGTTTAGTACTCCCAAATTCTAAGCTTATTGGTTCTATTCCAGAAGAATTAGGATTTATTCAACATCTTCATACTATTGATCTTTCAAATAATTTCTTGAATGGAACACTACCTGTTTCACTTCTCAATGCTTCTGAACTTCAAGTTCTTTCACTGTCAAACAATGCTATTTCTGGTGAGCTTACTGAGTCTATTGGAAGGTTGAAGAGCTTAAAGGTTCTAAATCTTTCTGTCAATGCATTTGTAGGAAATCTCCCACAAAAGCTAAGTTTTTTGCAGAATATAAAAGTTGTTTCTTTGAGTAAAAACCTATTTTCTAGTGCAGTACCAAGTGGATTTCAGTTTGTTGAGGTGCTGGATCTTTCTTCTAACTTGTTGAATGGAGCATTGCCTGATAATTTTGATGGGGATAGTTTGAAATACTTGAACTTTTCTTCAAACAAGTTATCTGGTTTAGTGTCACCACAATTTGCAACGAAAATACCAGCAAATGCTGCAATTGATCTTTCTTTCAACAGCCTTACAGATGAAATCCCAGAGTCAATTGCCTTATCAAACCAGAAAACAGAGTTTTTTTGCAGGAAATACAGATCTTTGTGGAAAACCACTCAAGAAACTCTGTACAATCCCTTCAACGCCTTCATCTCCACCTAATATAACCACTAATCCTCCAGCAATTGCAGCCATTCCAAAGGAAATTAACTCAACCCCACTTCCTGAACAAAAAACTGTTGTTGGCAAAGTGTGATCTAACATAAGTTTGCACCAACTGATTGCCTCTTCATCACATTATAGAATGAACATGTGATAATTAGAGACTTACAAATAAAACATGGAGATATACTTGACATTTTAGCAAATAACCCCACTTCAGGAAATACCAGAGAAGTTGGATGAGTAGATCTGGAAAGCTATTTTTGCCCTTTTCCCTATGTTTCCAAATTTCTCCCAAAATTAAGCATCTAGAGTACAATATGTTGTTCGCTTAAAAAATCTGTCTACAATGGACAGAGGACTATCAACGTGCCCATAAAAGGGAAAGGTCTTTAACGAGGGCAATCATACATTGGTGATCAGGGTATAGCTGCATTATTAAAAGTCTTCAGGAACCTCACGATCCAATTATTCTTCTACTTAAACAAGAAAAAAAAAGAAGGAAAATTCATCCCAAAACAAGTCAAGCAGCAATAAAATAACTCTTGTTAGTGCCCCTTGTATTAGGATATCAAGAATTTATAGCAGAACAAATGTATTTTGCTTACAGATCAAAGGGCATGACATAAAGGATTCAGAGCAGAAGAACATAAAGTATTTCGATAAGCAAATGTTTAATTCTATATTCGTTTCACAAGTTAACAGAACCCAGACATCCTGTGAAGATATGCATAGGACAGAAAGAGAAAACTGCATGTATATCTTTATATCTGAGAGAAAGAGAAAGTAAGAGAAAGGGATGAGGTGAGACATTACAGTTTACTGAGTCTTCTTTTCCTTATTTGAAGACCTTGAAATCTTTCTCAGTACATTATCATCAATTTTCTTGTACTGTGTCTGAATGACCTTTTGTGCTATAATAAGCTTGTCATCAATTTGATTTTGATACTTGTCGTACAGCAGAGGCGCAGACAAACTAAAAAGAATTCCTGTAGGAAAGATACACAATTCAGTCAACTATAAATCCCCAACAACAATTTATATCACCTGAAAAGAACCCGACTCACCCATGTAGATGAAAGTGAGGAGGTTGAAGAAACTACCAACATAAGATATCAGCCACAAGACAAGAGAAACCTGATAAACCAATCCATATTAATAAGATGTAAATGTGAAGAAAATATGGCGCCAATAGCGTGACAAACATGATGCCTGAAATGGAAGGGGTCCTATAAGAACAGACCTTAACAAAAAGTTTTAAATTCCCACCAATAGCAATATCATGGGCAATCATCAGGACATGATTGATCCAAACACGCATCATGTCAGCAGCCTTTACGACAGATTCCTCGTGAACCTCCAAATCAGGGATAGGAGGTAAAGGCCTGGAATTGTACAGACATAATTGATTCAGTTTTCCACAAAAAGTCTTACTACAGCATAATCATTAAAGGATCTCAATTGCTCAACACAATCAGAACCATAATTGAAATGCACGCCCCAGTAGAAAAGGCAGAGAAATGCAACAGCCAGAGGCAGATCTACTTCAGGTGCACCCCTGTCTCAGTGCCAAATTAGCCTGACAGTAGGCTTCAATTTTCAAAAACTAAAGACAAAATCAATGATCCGCTAATCTTATTCAGAGAGCAACCAGAAATTATCTCGAAAAAAGTTGAATCGCGTGACATGCACTTATTACATTACCTGTTAAGAAGTGAGGCAGATTTAGCCCAGAAGAAGAGAATCACAACTAGAAGCAACATAACATTGGCAACAAAGGAAAGGACATTATATCCAGCTCGCTCAAACAAAATCCAAAGCGCAGTGGAACTGACTAGCAGAGTAACACTAGCACACCATCTCCTCCACAACAGCACATCCGCCACTGCAATTCAAATTTAACCGCCTCAACAAAACATTTCCTATCGAATAGTATTATTTTCCTAGAGAAGCCGAAGTTGATTATCATCGTGATCAAGTATTACTTCAAAATCCATAGTGAATTGATGCGTTAATTGATAATTGCAATAAGGTCAATATCAAATCTGAATTTCTGTAAATGCATGAATTGGGCAATGGATGCAAATATAGAGAAAGACAAGAATATACAGAAGGCAAAACGCAGACGTAGGATGAGGAAGAAACCTGAGCCACCACCAAGAGCATGATGTACAAAAGACTGACGATTATCTCCCATGGCGATTAGGGTTTCTGCCTAGTCTGCAACCGAAGAAGGAGAGCAGTGATGAAATCGCAGGGAGGGCGACGACGGTAATTTTTGGTAAATCAGTTCAACTTCAAATATGCCAGGCGCACTAATGGATTAAACAATACTAAACATAATAAATCTGAAGGACGAGGAAATAAAATACTCCCGATCAGAAAGAAAGACGTTATGCTAAAGGTAAAAGGTAAAGTCTCTTTCTAGTAATTTTTTATTAAAACTTTTCACTTGAATAATTTTTATGTCTAAGATTTATTGTGGATTATTTACGTGAGGGTTTTTTCTTGCCTCATAAAAAATAGACTAAATCTTATACTTTTAGTTTCACAAATTTGGGTTCACTTTTTGTGTGACATCTCACACAATTAATGGCATTAGGCATATAATCAAGACTGCATTCTATTCGCGTTGCGACTTTAGTATATCAATTTTTTTCAAATTTACTTTCACCAACTGCGTATTGTTCCGGCGGTTGAAGCCTAGAGAGTTTTTGATTATTTTACTTATGCTTCTAGAAAAGAAAGGATGCAAATTAGGTGTTGGTTTCTTAAATTGTACGCAAAAGAGAGTGATGACATTTTGTGATGTCCACCACCAACTGCCAGTGATGCGGTTCAATTATTCAACTGTAAATGATAGGATTGGAGCCTCCCAAAGACTAATATTTACCATTAATGCTGACAATGGTAATGTAAGATAGTGTTAGCAGCCAAGTTTGCCCGTCCATTACCATCTAGATTTACGAATCAAAGTTTCAAGCCCCACATATTCTAGAGGACAGTCTTTTTCAACAAAATAAGACGGAAAAGAACCAGAGTTAAACATTTTCGATTTCAAAAAGCTGTTCATAAAGTTACTTATGTTACATGATGATGTCAAGTTTTCGAACTATATAGCTCCTGATCCATGCATCAGGGCAGTGCACAATAAATTTGAAGCTAGTCACCTCTCCCTCCTTAGTGGTGGTCGGAGTCAGCTTCGTCATCATCGGACGACTCTTCCCTACGGGTTTCTTCTCCACCTGCACCAGAATTACTCTTCTTCTCCTTCTTCCTCTGCTTTTTCTTCTGCCGTCTTGCGCGTTTCTTTGCTGTCCGCTCTTCCGCAGCTTTTACTTTTTCTTCTCTTCTCAAGTTGAATTCAGCAACTTCTTTCCTTCTCTGGTAGTCAACATCCATCCTTGCAAGTCTGTCTTGTTCTCTCCGTCTCATCTGCCGATACTGCAAACAATACCAAAAAAATGTTTTTTCTGACACTTGGCACTGTCTACTTATTCTTTAAACCCAGATATAACCTAATCATAGTAAATCACTTCTTAGTAACACCACACACCATTCAACAGATTGAAATAAATGGCAAATAAAAAAAATGCAGAAAATACCTATGATGAATTACATTTTTCAATAGACATCTTGAACAAATATAGGATGAACATCTAGATTATGGATCCTACATATATCACGACTAAGAAAAAGGAAGAACTTTGTCCACTTGTATGTCTTTGCAATAATTCATATCATACAAAACATATATGCACATATAAAGAGACCTTGAATACTACTCAAGAGCATTTGAACTCGAAGCAGCACTATGAGTCACTAAAGTCAACATACGTCATAATTATGGCAGTCTACCTCAATGCACTTTGCCCATGATCTTCACTAAAAATGTTTGTCAGTAAGGACATATCTGTTCCTTTTGACAATTTATATATGCAACAACAATGCAGACATTCTCTGATAAACAACAAGCACCTTATGCATCCTCAATCAGTGCACACCACCACCACCCCTAGAGTGCTATCTTATTGGCATTCCCTTTCTTTACAAAGCAAGCAATATACAAGAGATGGCTCTTCTGCTCTTTAAGTATTGCCTTGGCAATCTCTTGCTTTCTTGTGCCAATGGACCTCAACTACTTCCATCCCCATCCTACTACTTCAGCTATCGCTTTATTTATTCAAACAAACACAATCTGCAAACAGGTTCCTTGGAAGCTTTACCTATTAAAAAAGGTTCTTTGGAAACTTTTGCTCGAGAAACTAACTATATTGCCAGCCAAAGACTTATGGTTGAAAACTCAACTCGACAAGAAAAGTCAGTTAATGGGACAATAATAAAGTAGCCAGAAGACATTTCAAACCAAAGTTCTACTCCAATGTGCCACTAAACTATCAATAACGCAGAAAAAGTGATGTTCGAATTTGGAAGCATCTCTTGTGAAGCTGTCAGTGTTGAAAAACAAGTCATTGCTTCTGCGGAAAATTATGGCCCTTCTGTCCCCCATGGCTAATCTAGCAGGTCAGGCCAAGTGCTTCATTCTTTCTAGCTGAAGTAGTAGGAAAGTAAGGGTAGAAGGGGGTTATGCCAAAGTGGTGAACAGGACTACTACTTTGGGCTTTTTCCTCCATAAGATTAGCCCAAAAATACGCGAACTGATGGATTATAAAGAGCACCTAGACGCTCTAAGGTAGGCATAAAACCATCAGGCTATCTAAAACTAATCTAGCTTTTCATCTGAAAATTCCTAGAAAATATAGCCACCATGACAAGGAGCCCTATTATTGGATTCTATAGTATCACCTGAACATTGTAAGATACGTTTGTGTTCAGGTTGCCGAAATTCTCGAGGAGGTTTGAGTTGAACAAAATTATATCTTTACTGCTCCACAAACCAAAAATGACAACAGAAGGAAAAGGGTTTTAATACGACACTGAGTTTCTTCTTCCTGACAAGAATTAGGGACACATAGGATATTTACTCAATCACATTGCATGATAAGAACTTAAGCAAAATAAGTGAAATCTACGAGTTTTTTTATCCCTCCCTAGGAGCTTCCTCCTTTTTTTGCTACCTGCAACCTTAATGTGGGAGGTGAAGAGTGCTTACCACCTCAGCAACCCCCTCTTGTCTGCTCAATCTAAGGGTCAAACCATGTAACTGCATGATATGTTTACCTTATTGTGATTTTCAATAGATATTAGACAGGTGCAGCCTGCAAATTGCTGGTTAGGCTTAAGCAAATCATCAATTTTGAACACATTTAATCGAACATTATACATCTTGCAGGCTGCACCAAACAAAGTACTACTTATCTATTTCAATGTTTGCGACAAGAGTTACATCATTCTCAAAACCTTAAATTAACAACTACTTCTGGTGTTCTTAATCACAACACACAGAGTCTCTAAACTCAACTAATTTCCCCTCAACAGCCGTTAAACAGAATGAATTCCAACTTACCAAGCACGCTAACATGATTACATCGCAGGAAATAATCAACTGCTCGAAAAATGCAATATTTACAGTTAACCACAGAGCAGAAATCAAATTAGGGCTCAACAACGAACCAGAATAGAAGAGAGGTACCTGATGAAAGTCGCCGGAGCCAGAACCAGCAGAACTTCCAGACGTATTGCTAACCCGTACAGGCACACATTCAAGTATACGCCGGAGCTTGATCTCAAGATCCTCCTCTTCAGGATTAGCTGCAGGTGGCGTGTATTCCACTAGAGCTGTGGAAGAAGAAGCCGGAGGACGAGGAGGTAGAGCAGCCACCTGCCTCTCCGACGCAGCAACAATCTGTAAATCTCCGGCTGCGACGGCCGTTGATCGACCCGACGATGACATCTTCGCGGCCCCAAGAAGAGCTTCTTACTTTCACCTTTGTACTCGGGGAAGAATAAATAGGCTATAGAGGATGTTACCTGTTGCGAACTGAGAGAACTCTTTTCTAGGGTACCGGGACTTCGCCGCCGACTATGATTGCCTGGAGCTGGAAGACGATTAACCTTTTAGGGCAATATACCCCTAAATTCCATCAGAATCCTCTTGTTCAAATACTACTTTTATTTGGTTTGAGGTATTATGCAATTCTAAATTTATTTATTTAGAAATGAAAAGTTATTCAATATACATGTTAGATAATTTATTTATTTTTAATTATGAATAACTTAATTAGAGATAATTAATCTCACAATAAATTTATTTTGGTTAAATGACCCCTTATTTATCTAAACTCAATCGCTAACAATTTGAACACTTGAATCTTGATGTCTATCTCAAATACTTAACAAAATAAAATGTGTATTCCACTCGGGTGATGCGATCAAGAGATTAATAAAAAATAATAATATATATATAAAACAAATATATTTTTCTAAAATTAAATTACTTATAAAGTACTAACCGCGCTCGAAATATCTAAAAAAGGAAAGCAAATCTTAAAGGATTTTATGTTTTTGGTCTATTTCATTTTCTTGAAGGCTACACCTTAAAATCATTCTCTCATTTTTTTTTACTTCTTTTTTTATTCTACTTATGTTTTTCCGAAGAGAAAATGATCAAAATGGTCCTTAATGTATGAGCTTTGATTCCATTTGGTCCTTAATGTATGAACTTGATGGAAATGGTCCTTTATGTATCATAAATTGTGATCAATTTGGTCCTTAACCCTAAAATTTTAATGGCAGCGATTATTTTTTTAAAAAAAATAATTAAAATCGCTACACGTGTTGCGATTTCCCATTATTTTTTAAGCAGTCCTCTCCTCGGAAATTTTTAATAAAAAGAAATTAAAACTTTTTTAAGAAAATGGCTGCTATAGCAGCTATTTCTATTTTTTAAACGCTGTTGGGGCAGCGTTGTTAAAAAAAAAATTCACAGCAGCAATTTAAAGAAAAAATAATTTTTTTTTGGACCGGCAGCGATTTTTATGTTTTTTAAAGGAGTAACAACGTCAATTTTGTCAGAAGAAAATCGCTCTGTCAGGAGCGATTTTGCCCTTTTGGTTAAAAAAAAATTGATGTGCCATTTTGGAATTTTTGGAAATAGGGGAAGGAAAGTCTTGAACGGGCGCATCTTTTACATATTCCGTGTATTTTGACGGTAAAAATAAAATAAAATATTAATTTTAGGGTTAAGGACCAAATTGATCACAATTTATGATACATAAAGGACCATTTCCATCAAGTCCATACATTAAGGACCAAATGGAATCAAAGCCATACATTAAGGATCATTTTGATCATTTTCTCTTTTTCCGAAATATAAGTTTATTGGGTTATTTATGAGTATTTGACTAATTTAGGTGCACTCCAGGATTCATTACTTTGTATGTGTATCTTTCGATTCAAATTTAAGAATTCAAATTAAGAAGAAAAAACATGTTTTAAAATTCCATAATGACCCATTATAAC